AGCTTATAATAGTGGCAAAGGCATAAAGTAATTCAGTATCTTTTTGCATAATGAAGCTCTCATTCTATGTGACATAATTTGAAATATGTCATAATTCAAAAATAAGTAATTATTTTTTTACATATTGAAAGCTAGCAATAAGTGCCAGGTTATCTGCAATATGTATCTTGTGACTAAAGAAATACAGTATGGCCTTATTTAGGGAGTTAATAAAGCCTATTTAAATGTTTCCTTAAATATATGGTGAAATTTTTGCTCCACTGAGATGAGGAAAGAAGAGAAAAAATGTTCTAGACTGACTTGAAATTTCTTTTTCCTGTGTCTTCCTTATTTTGAGAAAATGCTAAATTTCTACTTGCAAGTCAAACTGCAACATTTTCTCCTGTCTGTGTGTTTGTAATGTCTCATTTATAAGGAGGCTGGATTCAATTTTTACAAAAATATTCTCACCTTTTCACACCAAAAAGGGCATAACATTAAAACTCAAAACTGATTAAAAAAAGATCCCACAAACTATCCTAAGTCCTTCTGCTATTTTTTGTTGTTGTTTTTTTGGTTTTTTTTTCTGTGCCCTCACAATTTTTTAATGCTGGTTGTAACAAAATTATTTCACAAACCATTTTAATTCCCAACCCTTTGTTGTACCACAACAGGGTTAGTTCAATTAATTCTGGGGCCACTTCATCCTACCAGAAAATGGAAATTACTATCCTTGCACCTTCAGTTAAGGGAAATAATTTTCCTGTCTTTGTCTAATTGGGCTTGAACAGATAAGCTATTGGCTTCACTTCTTGAAATAATGTATCTTGAGATTATAGGAAAATTCAGGTAGGAATGGACATCAGGCAATTTCTAGTTCAAGCTCCTGCTCCAAACAGGCTCAGCTGTGAGGCCAGGCTTGGGTGCTTGGGGCTTTGTCCAGCTGGGTCTTGAACACTCCAGAGAACAGAGCCAGCACAGCATCTCTAAGCTACCCAATGCAGCACCTGCTTGTCCTCAGAGGGAAAATGCTCCTCCTTCTCACCATTCTGAACCTCTTGTTTCAACTCATGGTCATTAAGCTGAGTTCCTGCCTCTGCACCTCAATTTGCCAGAACATTTTGCACTGGCAGTGGTTTGGAGCCAGATTTTCACGGGTCCACTCTTGAAAAGTTCCCTTAGGTACGGTATAGTATAGTCATGTCAGATTCCTATAAAGGACCACAGCAAACCAGACAAAACCTGGATGACTTTCCTCAATCTCATTAGTTCTCTGCATGATTCTCACGTCAGTGAGGCTGTTTGCAGGAAATCCAATAAAGGCACTGTTACATATCATGGAGTTCAGTTTCAGATTAACACACCCAGCATCTGTTGTCTACATGCAAGAAAGATATTTAAGTTTGCTGTTACTTAGATAGCTAAGGCCCAGATCAGTTGGCCTCAGAAATACCTTGGAACATTCCTTCCTGGCTCCAGCAAGCCCATTAGGAGGCTGCAGGTCTCCTACAGGTCCCGTGGCATATTTATCTATTCCACATGGATGTCTCAAGCACACCGCCACATTTTGAATGATCCTAGAGGAATACAAAGGTGCCAGTGATTTGAACCTGTAGGAGATGGATATTTGAATCATTCTTTTGGCCTGACTACCATGAAAACATGTAGTACATTGATTATATGAAAATCTAGACACCTAGCAAGCATTTAGACACCAACATAGGCTTGCACTAAAGTGTTCTCATTACAAACTAAAACCCAGCCACAGCCTAAGATCATGAGAGATGACAGACAGCAGACAATTACAGCTCATTAAATGAAATGCCAGTGCTCAGTGGTATGGGTGAGAACCATGAAATGGTATCACCATATATTGGGAAGCAGCTTCTTCACATTTTGTCTCAGGCTTTCAATAATATACACATTAACGGCAGAAGTTCCACATGAGAGAGTAACAAAATTTTTCAACTCCTTCCTTATTTCTGACCACTTCATCTCGGAAATTAAAAAGCAACAACAAATGAAGGCCAAACATGGTCTGTGAGGTAGAAGAGATGAGAGGTAGGAGTCAAATCCTACAATCCTATCTCTAATTCCTTCTTTCTGTGACTCTAACAGTGCAGTGTTGCTCAGTAAAATGTCAAAAATAACATACAAAACTACCATGTACCTTTTGAGAAACAGAAGATAAACTGAGTTCTCAAATATTCAGGGTTTCCATACTTTGTGGAAAACTAAAAGGGTCTTCTAGACTTATTTCTCTTGAGAGTAGCAGAGATTTTCATCTATTGTAGCTTTGAAATACAGTGGCAGCCCTTGACCTTAAAAAAATCTCCAAATAAATTCAATAACTTCTATTAAGGTTCCTCTTGTTTTTTCCAATAAAATTTCCATGTGGATTGAAAAAGTAAATTAATAATACTGAAATCTACCCTGCAGATGTGGAAGAAGTATGAACAAAAAATGAAAATTCCAGGATTTTAAATAAATATGATAATATTGTTAAAAGCAGAAAATATTCCTGAGACACAGGCTGTTTATTCTGATTTTAATTTTCTTTCATTTTCAACATTTTCTTATTGTTGGGTTTATTTTCTAGGTTTTTTGTTTTGTTTTTGTTTTTTTTTTTTTTTTTTTTTTTTTTTTTTTTTTTTTGTTTTTTGTTTTGTTTTGTTTTCTAGCTTTTGATTGGTACTTCCCCTAATGTTTTTCTCAACTTAGTCTGTTTTTCTCAGCAGGATAATCTATCCCAGACAAATGCCTAATTCTGCCCTACACAGCCTTATGGCTTCTTTTCAGATCAAATGATGCAAAACACAAACACCCCAACTGCACAGAGGTGCAAGCTGAGGTTGAAGGATTGCTTTGATACTACTATAGGTACAACACTGTGAAAGTATTCACATAATGCTTTGATTAAATTCCTTTAAAAGAATGTCCGTGACTTATTCAACTGATTAAAAGTTCAACGATTCAGTTGAACAATATTGCAAAATGGTTTGAATAAACTACTTTATGAGAAAATCCAAACTACCTCTGGCTTCAAGTATTCTGGAGCCATCTGCATGAATTCCTAGATTATCCTAAATATTGCTCTGTGAAAAATTTTGTTGTGTTCATTTGTTCTATATCTAGGCCAATACAATTAATGAAAGGTAATACTCCATTGTCTTTCTGATAATTGTGGGGTCAAAAAATCTACCTAAAGCATAAATTAATACTAATTGTGTGGTGAGTACCATGAGAAATACTGTGGGATCCCTTATTAGAGGAAGGTTTAATTTAATAAATTAATAAAGCCCTTTTTCTTTTTGATATTTTGCAAAATATTTGTTTATGGCAAACTGTCACTTGTATTCAGATTTAGAATGTAGAAACCACTGTGATGGTTCCTTGGAAATGCTTAAAATAGATAAGATGGATTGACTGATTGCATATTCCTTTGAATTATTGTGAAAGTACCAGATCTATCTAAATCATGCCATGAAAAAAAGTGGAGTTAGAAGTTATGTAACTTCAAGTTGCTATAAATTGCTTCTTGTTGAAAGCTATATAAAACATTTTCAAATCTGTCATGTTCCACCTCTTCTGCTTAAAAAAATAAATCCAAGTGAAAATGTCCAAGAAAAGTATGAATCAGGCTTATGTTGTTAAGTTGGAGCAAAAGCTTGACACCATCAAGACTGGATACTCTTTAGCAATTAAATCAAGAATCTGGTCCATTTTATGTCCAGAATGTGTTTTTTACAGTAAGAAACTGTATTTTATTAGGTTAGCTAAACCAGTGTATCTAAATAAGCAACAAAACCAGATGAGAATCTACTTCTCTTCTCACAAACACACCATTGCCATTTTTCATTTAATCCAACTTTGATTCTTGAACACAGATTTTATCTACCTTCTTTTGCTGCTGACATTCCCACGTGCCCTCAGAACAAGTTATCTCACAAAGCAGCCAGGAAAATGCATTTTCTACTTCTCCTCCCACAGCAGCATGCAAGATGACTATGCAGCAACAGCATCCCAGAGAACATGCTCTACAAGGTCTGATCTGACCTCCAGACTTTGCCAGAAAACAGTCTCACATCATGGACCAGTCTGACCTCCAACAAAGCAGGAGGAATGCAGTACAAAGAGAGCATGGAGGAGCCAGAAACTGCTTTATTTGTAGCACTGAACAGAAGAAATGAGCACAGCAGATGGCAGAAGATAATACAGAACTTCAAGCTGTGGGGCGGCGCCCAGACACTGCTTTTGCTGGTCCTGAGTGTAACCATCATTGCCAGTAGGAAGGAACTGCAAAACCCTTGACAGTGAGATCAGTGTAAAGCAAGGGCTTTGACATTCTCAAATTCAATTTTCTAGCCTAAAATATGTATTGAATTTGAGAAAGTAATTGCTTTTCCCTCATTTGGCTATTTTATATATATGTATATGTATATACACACACATATGAGTTTTAAACTGGCAGTGAAACTTTAAATCTTTTCACTGAGACCAGAGACTGAAATTACTTCAAGTGAGGCTTTGAAAGAGGGCATCCAGAAAAGGTACAAAGGTACTCTTCATTTTCTTCACCCCTCTGCAAATAAAAACTTGCTTACTAGCAGTTCTGCCTTCCCCAATTAAACAGAGTGGCTGGCAAAACAAAATAACAAGGGGTCATGGCAGAATTAGAGTTGATATGTTGAAAGTGTGTATCACTCAGCACTGAGTACCACTTCATGATTATACCCTATTTTGTACTCTAAAAAACAACAGCCTCATACAGCAACAAACACAATTATAAGACAGATACCATTTATCCCAGGAAACCTATCTGCTACTTCAAAAAAAATACTAGAAAGGAAAAACAACCCCTTGTGGTGAAATTAGCTGAAATTAGCTCTGATGATGATGTGTTCTTTAAATTGGGAAAGAAAAAAGGATGTTTTTGTTCAGCATGACTTATTTTTAGACTGGCAAAGACACAATGGTAAACAGTACTGGAGCTCTGTGGGCACCTTCTGAGGTTAAATTACCTTTCATGCCATTTGCACAGAAGACTGTTCTCAAGCAGCTTGAGCAGATGGTCGAGACACCATTGTCCGTTTACTTGTATCCACAAAGATAAACGATTGCTCTCTGAAATCCTGAACAATATGGCCCTTGTGATGCTTTAGGCTGCCAAGGAGAAAAAAAACCAAACAAACATAAATATAAATTTTGCTGAGGAGAACAGAAGAGTTTTGATTGATGAAATTTCATTTTGAACAAGTACATATGGAATAATATAATTTTTTAGATGATAAAAGATATCTAAAATCATCAAGTTCAAATGTTAACCTAACAATGCTGAGTACACCACCAAATCGTGCCCCCAAGTTCCAGATGTTTTTAAAGTACCTCCAGGGATGGTTACTTCACAGCTTCCCTGGACAGGCTGTTCCATTATTTGACAAACCATTCCAACAAGATACTTTTCCTAAAGCCAATCTCAGCCTTCCTTTGCCCTACTTGAGGCCATTTCCTCTGGTCCCATTGTTTGTTACATGGGAGAAGAGACTGACCTCCATCTTTCTACAACTTCTTGTCAGGTACTCGTACAGAGAGAGAGGGTCCTCTCTGAGCCTCCCTTTTCACAGACTAAACACTCCCAGATCCCCCAGCTGCCTCTCACAGGAATTGTGCTCCAGACCCTTCACCAGCTCTGTTGCCCTTCTTTGGACACACTCCAGCCCCTCAATATCTTTCAAAACTGAGCACAGCACTCAAGTGCAGCCTCACCAGGGCTGAGTGCAGGGGCACAATCCCTGCCCTGCTCCTGCTGGCCACACTATTGCTGATCCAGGCCAGGATGTCATTGGCCTTTTTGGCCACCTGGGCACTCACTGGCTCATGTTTGGCTTCTGTCATCCAACACTGCCACGTCCTTTTCCACTGGGCAGCTTTCCAACCACTCTTCCCAAGGCTGTAACACTGCATGGGGTTGTTGTGACTCAAGTGCAAGACCCAGCCCTTGGCCTTGTTGAGCCTCATACTATTGGCCTTAGCCCAAAATATCAGTAATCTGGGACAGTTCCACTAAATGAACATAATGTGTTCCTGAATACTTAGCAAAGTAGGAGATGCAGGTAAAAACAAATCATACACAGTAACTCTGACTGAAATAAGAATCTACCATGTCTGCACAATGGCTTCTACTGCACATAACATTTCTGAAGCACACTGTCAAGTTACAACTCGTTCTGCCTACTATGCCAGTGAGGTAACCAGAGATATCCAGAACCATGCCAGAGCAGAAAACTGCCTGGGCACAGTGATCCACCCAAGTATTGGTTGAGAAGGTGATTTCACTTGTTTTAAGAACTTCTCAAACTTTGTGAGAAGCCCTGGTTATTAAACATATGCAATGTGAGCATTTTGCCAACAAGAAATTTGCTAAAAAGACAATTTTATTATTAGAATAATTTACTACTAAGAGAGATGAGTTTAAAGGATTGGAGACAGCATGTACAACTATGAAGAAAATTCTAAAATCTTAGAAACAGTCTTTAGGATTTAGGAGTGAAGTGAGCAGATACTGTCTGCTCACTTCACTTTGGACTTGCAACTAATAATTGCATAACCTGTCATTCTTAAAAGCTCACAAAAGAAAAGAAATGTTGCTGAATATGGAAAGAATCACATGGAATCAGTGAAGGGGCCTAGACATGGCCTTCAATACACACAGCAAAATAAGACAGAATTGGGTTTAGAAAATAACAGTGAAATTAGATAACTATGAATCACCAGCCACTCAACATCCTGAAGACAGCAGGTATTGCAAAGCATTTAATTAACTAAAATTTCATATAAAGATGCATAGTTGTTTCTGAAATAACTGCTTATTTAAATAATGACACAACAAATAAAATTCATACTCTCTGTCTAATACCACACACTCCACAGCAAAAGCCAGTAAACAGTGGATATATTTTATTTCTCATTTCAGTCATCAAATGACCTCTTTTAATCTCTTTTTGCTGTGATGCTGTCATATTCAGCATGCCTTACAATAAATGTACCATTTAGACAATTTAGATTCTTGGCAGATTTTAGGAATTGTTAACACTTATTGGAGTAAGGAAAAAAAGGAAAAGACAGGCTGAGATAAATGTCAAATAGTGGCATCCAGCAACACAAAGTAATATGTTCTGATACTGAGGATTAATTATAGCTCAAAGAAGAAGAAATAATTAGGAAATAATAGAAACATGAAGAAGAAATTAATAAAAATTAGGTCAAAAAGTTAGGAAAAGAGAAAAGTTTGGTTTTGCATAGGAATAAAAGAGAAATCACAAATGGGAAGAACTTTCCTCTCTGCTTTTGAAAAGGAAGGACACCCCAAAGTGTGTTTGTTCTAAATATCAGTGTCTTATGCTAATGTCATTTCCATTAAAAATAAACAAAAGTCAAGGCCTTTCTTCCCCTGAGGGAGCACTCTCTATGCTTTACTTCCACCATTTTTTTCCAAAAATTAAAGGGAAGGCCACCGTACCTCAGCTGTTTGCCTGTCCTTAACATCCCCAGATACATTTGCTATTTGCAAATAAAGTATAATGAAAGTAATGACTATGCTCATGAAAATATAATAATAGGATCACGTAGGTTGGAAAAGACATTTAAGATCCTTGAGTCCAAGCATAAATCTAGCACTGTCCACCACTAAACCATGTCCCCCAGCATCATGTCCATTTAATGTGAACTCCCTATCTCAGAGAATAAGCTGGAAATACAACCATCCATCTCCCAGTAAGCCAACAGTACATCTTGAAAAACCAAAATCAGGGGACTCCAATGAGAAGTATCTCCATTATTACAAACTGAACATTACTTTTTCCTCATAAAATAACTGATAAGTTGTAAAAATAGTACAATATATCTATATGAAAAGTATCAGATAATCTGTGAGGAATATGATAAAGATATCCCTAACCTCAAAAATAACATATTTTCTCTGAAAAAACCCACAGTAGATTTTTTTTTTGCTGTCCAGTTAAAAAAAAAGTAGAAGAAAAAGAGACCATTGAATAATACAAAGGTAGCTGCATTGTCATCAGATATCCTGTTTGAATGATACCAGTTAAAAAGAATGCAACATTTTATAAGAAATAAGGCAAACCAACATTATTTACAAATGTGCTATTTGAAATGCATTTTACATAACTTCTGACTGAATTGAGGCACCCATAAATATTTCAGCTCTCTTCAAATCTCTCCAGACACGAAATTTCCCAAAAACACATCAACAAAATGAATTTGAAACCACTGTGAATAAGAATTCAACAAAACAAATGAAATTTCATATTGCTTTGTTGCTCTTACCTTGAGCTAACAAGTGCCATAAAGGGTAGATGGGTAAAAGCAATACACTCAGAGAAAAGCAAGTGCACACATGTATAGATGGATTTTCAAGAAAGCCAGGATGAAAACCCAGGTGCAGAAAGTTTTATAGTTAAAACAAATGGGATTTTTTTTTCCTTTTTTAGTAAAGCAGTAACAATTTCCTCCACATAAATCATCTTCTAGGTCCTCCTGTGAGCTAGGCCACAATTAATGTACAATAACAATTTTTCAGCTGCTGTAAAAACTGAGAAACAGATTTAGACTGTCTTTCCCTTTATACCACTGGGCACATACATCTTCTGATTACCAAAGATACTTTCCTTTCTGCAGGTGTAGAAGTGCAAGAGGCCCCAGTGGGAAAGTCAGGAAGGTGCTCCCATCTCTCTATTATGCAGTAAGATAAACTGATCATTAGTTATGGAGAGGGAATATGCTGCATATGCTCAGAAACAAGACTCAATAAAAACATGGACATAAAAAACAACTTCAGTATTAACAGTTGTACAGCAGCTGATTCCAACAGGAATTTCTCAGTAGTTAACTCCTTTCATACTGCACCTCATTTGTGGGTCAATACAAATGTAGCAGAAGAATTTAGTGAGATTACTGAAATTTCATGTATCTTCCAAGGAGCTGAGGATACAGCACGTATTATTCCATGGTCACAAAAGGAAGATAACAAAATGGAAAAGCTGTGTTTAGTCTCAGTAGCATAAGTGACTGGTCTGAAATACATTTCTAACAGACAGCTAGTCTAAATGAGGTGTGTTAGAGGTAAAAGAGTTTAGGCGAAAAATGCAAATCAGAAAACCAGGTGAATGTCAGGTAAATGACAATTGGTGCTGAAATTAGTAAAACTTGCCTGTTAAATCTTGCAGAAAATGGTTTATAAAATTTTCAGCTAAGATGTATCCACAGTTTTACAAACGTATGCACTGAGAAGGAAAGACTACTTGAAACTGCATTATTGCAGAACTGTACTTATTTCTTAATTCTGAAGTCTTTCTTTCATTAAATGTAGTGCTACAAGATGTCAATCTCCACTATAACATCAGAGGAAGAACAGATATCCACGTCAGTGGGAGACAAAATGCGCTCCATTATAACGTGGACTGATCACAGAACACTCCTTTAAGATCAAATAAAAACCTCTCCCTGAGCAACCAGTGTCAGGGTTGTTAATAAAATAGTGGCTTCTAACTTGCTGAAACTAGTACACCAAGAGTATAGACTGTTTGACACAGGATTTTATAGTGGTAAATGAAACAAGAGCTTTCAAGTATAACATACATTACTAAGGATGGAAAAATTTCTGACTTTAAATAAAAATGAATACTATGACATATTTGGAACAATTTTTCATGCATGTCTTTCAGATACTTGGCAGAAATCATGCCCATTTATGCAAGGTTAGAATTTCATTACCCAAGTTCCATCACCTAAGGAAACAGAAAGAGGAAACTAATATCCAAGCCCAAACAAATTCTAGTCAACTACATAAAGACTCTGAAGTGAATAAAATTTTGTGATATTGACTAAGAAAGTATAAAATGCTTGATTACCTACTATTTTCTACATCGTGCAGACACATATACTTTGTGCAGAATGGGTGCTAAAAGAGCTCCCAAATCAAAATGACTATGCTTCACAACACTTTTTACAGGTATAAAAACATAAAGAACGTAAAAAGAAATTCCTAAGATATCAGTAAATGGTGAAAACACATGCCTTTCAAGATGTACCAGAAATGCAG